CTATGGATCAGATACACCTCATCGCTCTTTGCGTCCGTTGCTGCAGTTCATTACAGTAGGAGTAGGGGACGTGGCAATTGGACGTGACAACTGGAATAGCAGAAATCACAAACCAATAAGGGCACAAAGGCAGGTGAAGCTGTAAAGGGCTGCGAACTGAATCTTCCTCGGAGAGTGATGGGAAACTTGCAGAGCTCTGGAAAACGTTGCTCCTCTAAGTACTCAGGACGGAGGACACCATTACTTCTTTCTCTTGCATTTTCTCTGCTAAGTATCGCTCCAGGAGTGACAGTGTTAATAAATACACTGGAAGAGGCAGCTCTGTAAGCTGACCTACATGGTCACATGCGCTGGTTTTATTTTTAACATCCAAAACTACTTGATGTTTCTACTTGGGCTTGCTCGGTGCCCTCCCATTCTGTCCTCTTTCTCTGCTTCCAGTTATCCCTTATCCATCTCACTTCAACCCAGCTGAGCAAAACCAAGCAAACAAGTGTTTGGTGCAAACACAGGGACTCTATGATTAAGGTAAGGTTTTGTAAGCGGAGTTGGAGTCTTTACTGATCAATGCTTATGCAAAAGCTATAAAAATCAAGACATCTTCAAAATGATCTTAGTGACTAGGAAGGCTTAGAATGATCAGACACAAGATGTCTTAAATGGCACCCTAAAACAGAGGCAGCTGCTAATTTCTGTGACATGTTACTCTAAAAAAGAAATCACCAGTGTTTATTCGGTGGGTTAGCCATGGTTTGCAACACTGTATTGTATTTGGGTTTTTTTAAAAACTAGAGTGCTGACTATAAAATGGGAATTTCAGTATTAGGACGGACAATAAATCAAAAATTCAGTTGCTGTAATTTTCAAGAAACTGGAGAAAAGTAAAAGAAGGGTACACAAGGAGGTACACTAAGGGTCAGAAGAGAAGCAGGAGCACTCTTTTGGCAAAAATGCTAAGACTTAAAGTCCAGTGAGTTTTGTATATTCAGAGGCAAACTGTAAGTTTTTTGTCCAGACTAAATAAAAAGATGATGGAGTAAGAATTAGAAGTGTTACGGGTACTACTGTGCCATTTAGAGTTATGGCTGCTTAGCAGTTTTTATTCCGGAGTCTTTTCTCTTTTGTTTTTGTAAGTTATGGGTTAACTGTTAGCTCTGAAATTCTCTGTGCTAGGCATCTGCCTTGGGCTGATTTTTTGTTTTTTTGTTTTGCTTTACTGAAAACCACTCACTTGATTATCTCAAGAAGCTTTCAAAGTATGTTAATGATACTGTTACCAGGAGGTAAAATAGAACCTGAGCCTAAAGAAAAAAAAAAAAGTTTAATTTTTTTTCTCAAACTGCAGCTGAACTCAAACCTCTTATTTTAAAGTGCTTATTGAACCCAAACCAGAACTAAGCCCATTTGCCAGTTCTTGGTGCAGAGTAAGAGTTTGCTTGGTAGCGTATGTCTCTACCAAGGACAGCACAGGGACCCTTCACATGCACTGAGAGCTGCAGAGCAGCTGCATGTCACAGCCTCCTTTCCTCCCTTTGCTGCCTGGTTTCCACATGACGCCCTGGCATGCCCAGCACAAGATCCTTCTGCTGTGCTGTGGAGCTGTATTGTGCTGCCCAGCACCATGCTGCAAGCCCAGGGGATCACTTCAGCACAAGGGAAGAAAAAAAAAAATTTTTTTTTGCATTTGTCTAAGGTGTTGTTTCAGCTACGGAGGAACAGGAAATATCATTGAGCCCTGCAACAGGCTGTATGAGGTTTCTCCCAGCAGTGCCCCATGTTAGCCATGCCTCCTTATTCTCAACCGTGCCCTCCTCCTCCCATTAGAGCACTAGTGCATCTCCCTAGGTAGAAATTGCATAAAGCAGCTGCCATGCCTCCGTGCTGCATGTGTGCAGCACGGGTTTACGGGGGCGGGAGGCTGTGGGTGCCCCAGCCTCTCTTCAGCTCCATAGTCCTGTGTGCCAGATTTAGGGAGCTGAAGAAGGTCTGATGTACTGTTGTGGGAATCTGAGCAGCACACGTGCTCTGCAAGAAAAGCAGGGAGCAGGGACTGCGTGACTGATGCCCTGTTCGGTGGACCCGCACCATCTCTGCCATTTTAGAACATATTTTTTCAATGTTAAGCAATTCCAGCCCTTTCAGTACCTCTGAACCAGTGGTTACTGCCACAAAACACCCCAGCTTCAGTCAGCTGATACCCAGCTAGAAAATACAGGGAATGGCTCCGTAACTGCCCCAGCCCAATCTCCATTTATCTTTGGGCTTGTCTGACAGGACAGTTTGTCTCACTGAAAACCTTTATACTCTCCCTATCTTACTCCAGGGATTTGAGGTTCACCAGAAGGGTTGCCCTGCAATCAAAGTGCCCCTATAAAATCCGTACCGACTTGTGCAAATTCTGCATCTCTGAGAAGCCATGGCTTGCACGCACCCGGTAGCAGTTCGCTAGGGTTCCTGATGAACATTTCACCTATACCTTTTACACTCCCTTTCCATCTGCCCTGAGTTGCACCATTCTCTCTGCATGACTCATGTCAAGCTAGGCTGGCAACACGTCCACGAGATCAGTCTGAGCGGCAATGCCAGAGCAGGTGCAATGCAGAGGACAGTGACCTGCTACTCCTAAAGTGAAGTCAAGCTGTAGCTGTCCCTGCTGCAGGGCCTCAGCTCAGTTGGAGGTCACCATGATGCCACATGATGGTATTCTTGGATTTGCTTTTTATTTTCAATTCGTTTTGTCAAGTAACAGGACTTTAGAAAACTTTGGCTCTCCAGAAGCATGTCCGAATGCAGTATGATGCACTGTACAAAAAGAGAAGGTCTCTAGGTTAAGCAGATTTTGATACTTCCTGAGAGAATGCGATCCTACCCCGTCTCTGCCAGTGGTTGTGTGCTGAAGGCATGCAACTGCAAGGGAAATATCAGAACCTAAGTATCTTTGTGCTTGACGTATATTTTTTATCTAAAGTATTACATTTAATTATATTTATTTTCGCCATTCTATGCTTTATTGTTCCATCTGTCAGATAGGAGTAATATCTTTTTACCTCAAGTACACCTCTAGTAGTGCAAGGATAAATTCATTACAGCTTGTGAACCACTCCGTTACTAAGATAGTGAATATATTCAAAAAGCCTGTAACGAAATTAGTAGCTATGTATTCACTTCCAGTTTTCAGTGTTATGCTGAAAATAAGATAAAGGCCACATAATGGGTA